CAAGAAGAACAGCAGAAAGAGACATTTTTGTGGGCTAAGTCATTGCAGCTGGGATGGTGCAGAATGCTGACTCCACTTTTCTTGTCCAAAGAAGAGGGGAGGAAGGGAGAGTCAGCATTGGACGTTCTGTTGGCTGTCATTGTAACTAGCGATGCTCTAGCCAGTTTACTGCTGGGTATTTCAGACTCTGTTTAATACTCACATCCATCACTGGCAGTAACAGACTCCTAAGAAGAAGAACAGGAGTACTTGTGGTACCTTAGAGACTAACAAATTACAGACTAACACGGCTGCTACTCTGACTCCTAAGATGGGCTCTTAGTCACATAGTTTTAGGTTAAACTTGCTGAGGCGTTATGCAAAACTTAATTTATGAAAGTTTCTGTTTAGAAGTAATTCTGTATTTATAGTCTACTTCAGAGGAGATCCACACAGGATTAATCTAGTTCCCAAATCCTCATGTGGGGGTTGAACCTGTGAGGTGGAGAGGGCCTCTGGGAAGTGCTGATGTCTGTGGTCCCGTCAGGCCTGATCAAAACCTGTCGAAGTCAGTGGAAAGATTTACTTGAACCTTAGTCCAGACCCCTTTCAGGAGGTATTCAGCCGCTCACATGATCAGGTCCACAATGAAGGTCCTGCGGCTAAATGACTCTGATGTAACTCCATTCAAGAGAATGGAAACTGAGAGAACTGAAGAAAGAAATCCACTGACTTCAGTGGAGGTGATACAAGTGAAGTCAGTGGATTTCTATCAGGGATTATTATGCTTAAGGCCCTACCAAACTCATGGCCATGAAAAATGGGTCACGGATCGTGAAATCTCCTCCCACGAAATCGGGTCTTTTGTCTGCTTTTATGCTATACTATACAAATTTCACAGGGGAGACCAGTGTTTCTCAAATTGGGGTCCTGACCCAAAAGGGAATTGAAGGAGGGTTGCAAGGTTATTTTAGGGGGGTTGCAGTATTGCCACCCTTACTTCTGCGCTGCCTTCAAAGAGCGGTCGCTGTTGGCCAGGTGCCCAGCTCTGAAGGCGGCACCCTGCCAGCAGCAGCGCAGCAGTAAGGATGGCATGGTATGGTATTGCCACCCTTACTTCTGCGCTGCTGCCTTCAGAGCTGGGCAGCTGGAGAATGGCAGCTGCTGACTGAGGGCCCAGCTCTGCAGGCAGCAGCGCAGAAGTAAGGGTGGCAATACCATACCATGCCATCCTTACTTCTGCGCTGCTGCCTTCAGAGCTGGGCAGCTGGAGAATGGCAGCTGCTGACTGAGGGCCCAGCTCTGCAGGCAGCAGCGCAGAAGTAAGGGTGGCAATACCCAGGGCCTGCTCCAGGGTTTTTGCCACCCCAAGTGGCGGGGGGACAGGGGGAAGGAGGGAAACACGATCGACGGCACTTCAGCGGCAGCTCCACTGTGCCGCTTCATTCTTCAGCGACAGTTCGGCGGCAGGTCCTTCCCAAATTGCTGCCGAAGAACAGCTGGCCACCCCAAGCACCTGCTTGCTGCGCTGGTTTCTGTAGCCGGCCCTGGCAATACCATACCATGCCATCCTTACTTCTGCGCTGCTGCTGGCGGGGTGCCGCTTCAGAGCAGGGCACCCGGCCAACAGCTGCCGCTCTCCAGCTGCCCAGCTCTGAACGCAGTGCTGCCACCAGAGGCAGTGCAGAAGTAAGGGTAGCTGTACCGCAACCCCCACACAATAACCTTCTGACCACCCCCACACAACTCCCTTTTAGATCATGACCCCTACAATTACAACGCCATGAAATTTCTGATTTAAATCGCTGAAATCATGAAATTTATGATTTTTAAAATCCCATGACCGTGAAATTGACCAAAATGGAGCATGAATTTGGTAGGGCCCTAATTATGCTCCATGATGTTTAACAGTGGAGGCTGGTAGCCTCTGAAAACGGAAAGGCAAACCTGACATGCCTCCTCTCAGATAGTCTGGTGGGAAGCTCCCATAGAAATATAGATGAAGTTTATCTCCCATCTCCTTTCAATAGTACTGTTTTCTCTTGGTGGTGATCCCCTCTCTTTGGCAATCCAATCAGGTTACATTCTGCCTAGCCTACTTGCCCTGGCCAAGCTGCTTTTGTGGTTTATTTGTTTGTTTTTAGCTAGAACTATGCAAAAGGTTCACAAGAAAATCTGAAACTTGCTTGATTTTGTCTTTCATTGGAATTTGCCAGGGGAAAAGGTCATTAACATTTATGGACTTTTCAGGTGAACATGGATCCAGCCAGAGTATTCCTTGGCTGGCTTATGGTTTTGCATAGTAATTTCCAATCAAAATGCAGAGCTCCTCATGACTTTGACTTGAGAATTTACAAAACTCAATGATCTGGCAAAATTTTGCTTTGAGATTTTGCGTTTGTTTAAAATTTAGGGGTGCAGATGCAAAGCAACATTGAAAGAAATGTTACCTGATGTCAGGAATAAAGCCCGGTAGCTGCACCTGCACAGTCTCCTATCAACCAGACCCCTGATGGAATGCCCCATCTCATTAGCTGAGCAAGCTAGCAGGTTTGCTCTTAAGCCCAGTACCAGTTTGTCCATAAACTATTTGTCCATGGATGTGATAGTGCAGGGGTAGGCAACCTATGGCACACGTGCAGAAGGCGGCACGCGAGCTGATTTTCAGTGGCACTCACACTGCCTGGGTCCTGGCCACCAGTCTGAGGGGCTCTGCATTTTAATTTAATTTTAAATGAAGCTTCTTAAACATTTTAAAAACCTTATTTGCTTTACATACAACAATAGTTTAGTTATATATTATAGACTTATAGAAAGAAACCATCTAAAAACATTAAAAATATTACTGGCACGTGAAACCTTAAATTAGAGCGAATAAATGAACACTCGGCACACCACTTCTGAAAGGTTGCCGACCCCTGTGATAGTGTCTGTATCTGCTCATTGAATCCCAGACATAATCTGGTTCTGACTCTGGGCTCTGATTCCTACTCTGAACCTTGGCTGTAGTATCTGGCCTTTGTCTCTGGTTCTGATGCTGGGTTCCTGGCTACTGATTCCTGCTCTAATGACTAGGCATATCTACCCACCGACGAAATTGTTGACAACTCTAATTTTATCCACTTCATTGCTGTCTAAGGGCCTGATCTCAAGTCTGTTGAAGCCACTGAAAAGATTCCGCCTGATTTCAGTAATGAGGGGAATGCTGACCTGGGGGTGCTGGGGCGGGGGAGGAGATTGGAAACTTTTTTTTTAAATGGAAGCCAAGATTCCACATAATGACATGACTCCAGGAACTGGGACTTTAAGAAGAAAACACTGCATTGATATCAGTCAGGTGAATTGTATTAGGAATCAGTCTGGCTGCAAACAATTGGTGTTTAAACATGATTGAAAAGCCAGTGTAGGAAAAGCCGAAAGACATGTCTACAAAGGGAAATTGACCAGAATCTCTCTTTACTGTAACTATATGACCCCCATCACCTTAGTATCTGAGAACCTCACAATCTTTAGGGTTTATCTTCACAACACCCCTATGAGGTGAAGTACAATTTTCCCGCATTTTACAGGTGGGGCACAGAAAGGCTACATGACTTGCTCAAAAGCCCAGGGAGAGTCTATGGCAGAGTAGGTAATTGAACCTAGATCTCTCTTATCCCAGACTAGTGGACATGGCAAAATACCGTGGAATAGCTATGTGGACACTATTCTGGAATAAAAATCACTTCATTCTGGAATAATTAGTGCATTGTCTGTGTAATAGAAAAACAATAGAAAGATAGCAAGTGCCAGACTGGCTCAGACCCATGGTTCATTTCATCCAGTATCCTGTATCTAACCAGATGTTTCATAGGAAAGTGCAAGAAAGCTCCTAATCCCAGTTGGAGAAGGTTTAAACCCTGAAACATGTGGTTTAATATCCTTTCCAAAACTTCTGTTAGCATTAACTATTTAACTGTGGATATTCATGTTATCCACAAAAATGTCGTCCCTTTTTGAATCGACAAATTAAAAAGAAGCTAAAAGGAATTAAGTACTGTTAATTAGAGCTCATGACTTTTTGTGAAGGCTGGGGCTTGCCAACCAACCCCGGTCATTAGTCTCTCTTTTGGCTTAGGGGATGCCAAGGCAGCCTGCACAGGCACTGCAGCAGCACTAGCGTGCCTTGCGAACGCAGCGCACGGCACTAACCACTTCCCTTCGCTGCAGCCTTCTTGTTTTGCCGTAACACAAGATGGCCGCTCCCTGTCCTAATCCAAGATGGCGCCTCGAAACATTCTGTACGGACAGCTTTCGTCGCCATCCCATATCTTATCACCAGAGGGAACGTCTAAACTGGATGACGTAGAGGACCCCTAGTCCCACCCCTTGCCCCCCTCAAGACAGCAGGGGCCCCTGCCTCTTACTCCATCCATGTTTACACATCCCTCCCCTTACCGGAAGTTACTTTTACCTCATAGGTCATCACAAGACTCCAATTCCCAGCCAGCCCCGCACCTTCCGCTTCTATTGGCTGGAAGAGGCAGGAAGTGACCGGGCTATGGACGGTGAGAGATCAGAGGGGACGCTAGTCACCAGCAGGAGTTGAAGCGAAGCCGGTTCTTGCTGAAGTCTGGTGGGGACGGGTATCCCGCTCCCTTCCTAAGGTGTGGGGGCGGGGCACCAGCCGTGACTCTCGCCCGGGGTCTCTGGGGCTGCTCTCATGGGGTGGGGGGACCTGGGCTCGGGGCAAGTGGGGGGATGCTGACCTGGGGGTGCCTGGCGCGAGTGAGGGGAATGCTGACCTGGGGGTGCTGGGGCAGGGGAGGAGAAGTGGGTGGTATGCTGATCTGGGGGTGTTTGGGGGGATGGCATATGTGGGGGATTGCTGAGCTGGGGGTACCTGGGGCTCGGGGTGGGCTAGTGGGAGGAATGCTGACCTGGTGGTGCCTGGGGTTTCGGGGGGTGGATAAGTGTGGAGCTGCTGGACCAGTGGGTCTATGGGAATGTATGATGGGAAAGATAGAGAAGCAAGACTGGGTGAGGGATGCTGTGTTAAGAGGCATGGGAGAATGGGTGGGGAAGCCTGGCTTGGGTGGAGCCGTATGTGGCGATGCTGTCTAGACTAGGGGCTTGGCAGGCATCCAGGGAGATGGTGATGCTGTGAGAGAGGAGGGGCGAGTGACTGCTGCGTGTTCAAGGGAGTTGTCACAATGCAGTGATGAGCTAGGGCCTACTCTGAACACTTACTCCCATGCATAACTTTACCTGTGGGAGTAGTCGTATAGAATCCAGTGGTAAGCATTCCTGTGAGTAAAGTTGTTCACATGAGTTAGTGCTCACAAGATTGAGTTGAACAAGTGAAAGTCACTTAAATACTGTGCTTCAGTTCCTTGTCTGTAAAATGGGATAACTGTTTACCTCAGAGATTGGCAATGTGAGGGTAAACTAAAATGTATAAAGTACTTTGAAGTCTTGTGACTGAAAGTGCTGTGTACTGTAAGTACTGAGGATTATTATTTCTCCCTTATTTTCAAAAGCTTCCTTCAAGATGGAAGAGACTGAAGAATCCAGTCCACCTGAAGAATTGCTCCATGACTTAAAGCTTTCTGATCAGAAGTCATCAGAGAGCACCAGTCCTTTGACAGCTGGTTCCAAAGATGCACATCATGCAAGAAGCATGGACCGGGGAGATCTTCATTCCTCTTCCCAAGAGGCTAGAGCAGCAGATGAGTGTTTTCATGACTGTAATGACTCCTTTGAGGTAAAGGAACCAGGAATGGAACAGGAGAGAGACAACAGAGAGGATCCTGCAGGGAAGCAGACAGAATTAGATGAAGAATACTTATTAGAACTGGAAAAAAATATGCCAGAGGAAGAAAAACAGGTAACTTTTTATTGAGATTACATTACAATTTTTTAACTTGTTAATATCTGTTTTAAACACATTTTCTCTTTTTGATCTCTTTTTAATACATTTAATCCAATGTGCAAATGAAGTTTATGGACACTACCTTTAATGCTACTAAACTTTTAAAAAGACACTGGCAAGTTAAAATTCACTTAACCTTTTTTTTCTTTTTCTTTGGATCACTAAGAATACTCTAAAGGGATGATGTCAAACTCTCCCTCCCCTTCTGCCCCTCCTCCTCCTCCTACCCCCCCCCCCCATCAGATTTCTGTGTGTATTTTTTACCTACTTTTGGTATAAGTAATAACTTTAGATAATTATAACTGAAAGACTGCGGGCGGGATGGGGGAATCTGTTCTGGGGTTTTTGTTTTGTTTTTCATTTTACTTTGTGCATTTGACAGCACTTTCACAGTTTTCCCCCTGTTTAGACAGCTAAGCCCTGATCAGTGACAGGGTGGAGAAAAGCACCGTGCAAAATAAGATAACGTGGTTATAAAACTAAAATCTGGCATAGGGATTCAGGACAGTTTTAGTACCTTCTAGCAAATTTCCTAAAGCAAGTTGTCAGTTAGATTTAAAGTTGACTGTATCCCTTCAAGTTATTAAAATTAGGTTGGGCGGACACACTTTGCACTATTTATGCTGCTTGCTTACGTGCACTTCATTCAGCTTGGACAATGGAAATAGACTAATCAGTTTCTATTTGGTTCTCATTCCCTAGTACCATACAGCAGCGGTTTGAATTGCTTTTTCATCTGGGAAATCTTTAATTAAAAAAAAAAAAATCCAGTGAATACACTACACTTCTATTAATATTAACTTGAAAAATCTTGTTTTTAAAAATTAGAGTTCAACTAACAATATTCATTTCAGTAATATGATGAGATTTTTGCTATAAATGATGCTGCTCTAAGAGTTTTTAAATATTTCTAAAGGATTTAGGAGTCAAGTTATTTAATATATTTTAATAATTTCATGAGTCACTTTTTTTGCTGTTTGGAAAAATGAAGACTGAAAAATAAAAATCCAAGTTCCAAATCTTATAAAATTGCTTTATGAGCACTCTGGTTCTCTGGTTTTGATGTGTTAGGACATAGAGCCTTTCTTTCTGTTAGCTTATTATGTAGCCTGGTTTCACAATTCCAGAATTGATGAATTCATAGGCCTACTCTAAAATAGCTCAAATGTCCTCAAAGTACTGATTCATGCTTTTCAAATCTGATTAGACTGTCCAGTTAAGGAGGTAATTTTAATAGTGCTTCTCAGCAATGTCTCAGTTTTTCTGTACAGTAATCCACTATTTAAAACTCGGGAAGGGCGTGATTCTGATTCATTTTAACTTGTGTGAAAAGGCTCCTTCAGCAGACTTATTTTTACAACTTTCTAGGTATATGCAGCATTCTTACAGATATAAGAATGCACTGTTCTTTGTCCAAAGTATGTTTACAATCTAAATTACAGTTAACATGCTGAATAACAGATCATGGTTAATGTCAGAGTTGTTCAATGAGGAGGCACAACAGATGACAAGGGAAGGGACTACTGCTCTTGAGAGACCATTATTTTACAGGGAAGGAGGCTGTGTAACTTTTTTTTTTCATGGAGAGAGATCAATGTAAGTGATCGGGACAAGAGTGGAAACAAATATTTAGGGTGGAACAGAAAACCAAAAGTAAATTTTGAGAAGGAATTTGAAGGAGGAGAATGAGATGGTTTGGCATGCAAGAAGAGAAAGGTGTGGAGTTGTGTGAAACTGCGAGAGAAGGATGTACATTAGTACTAGGTTGTATAACAGCCTCCACATCATAATCTAGACAACATTCAAAGTTGATCCTACAGATAAATATTGGAGAGTTTTGTAATGGTATTTTTTTTTTTTTTTTAGCAGTAGGCTGTTTCTTTCTTAGTTGGCACCACAGGTTTTGATCTATGTCTGACCCTATCTTCATTTCAGAATTAAATTGAATACCAATGTGTGCCCCCAAAAAAGTGGGGGGGGGAGAGGGAGGGAATGGTCTTGCTAGAGTCTTGCTGTTTATTACCGTAAGTGGAAAATGATAGGGAGAAATATGTACGGTTGAGGGCAACTGAACTCAGAGCTGAGTGAGCAGCCAAGTCAGTGTTAATTCATTTTTTGGTGACATTTTACTGATTTAATCAAAATATGACAAAAATGTAATAAATCCCCTTATTCTTAATTTGTACATGTGTCATTACATGAGCTCCTTGGGGCAGGGAGACAGCTCTGGTGGATAGAGCACTGGAATGAGACTCAGTAGACCTGGATTCTGGCCTGCTTGGTGACTTTGCACGAGGCTTTTTCCCTCTTGGTGCTTCAGTTTTCCAATTTGTAAAATGGGGATAACAATACTTGTCTTTTTTGTAAAACACTTTGAGATCTACTGGTGGGAAGTGCAAGATCTAGGCAGTGGTGGTATATTTTTACTAGGGCTGTCAAGCGATTAAAAAATGTATTGCGATAATTGCACTGTTAATAATAGAATAGCATTTATTTAAATATTTTTGGATGTTTTCTACATTTTCAAATATATTGATTTCAATTACAAACAGAATACAAAGTGTACAGTGCTCACTTCATATTTATTTTTGATTATTACAAGTATTTGCACTGTATAAAAACAAAATAAATAGTATTTTTCAATTCACCTTATACAAGTACTGTAGTGCAATCTCTATTGTGAAAGTTGAACTTATAAATGTAGAATTATGTACCAAAAAACTGCATTCAAAAGCAAAACAATGTAAAATTTCAGACCCTGCAAGTCCACTCAGTCCTACTTCTTGTTCAGCTAATCGGTCAGACAAACAAGTTTGTTTACATTTCAGAAGATTAATGCTGCCCGCTTCTTGTTTAAAACGTCACCTGAAAGTGCTATGAGAACGCCAGTTCTCATTGTTGTAGCTGGCGTCACAAGATATTTACGTGCCAGATGTGCTAAAGATTCATATGTCCCTTTATGCTTCAACTACCATTCCAGGGGACATACGTCCATGCTGATGATGGGTTCTGCTCAATAACAATCCAAAACAGTGCGGACCAACACATGTTCATTTTCATTATCTGAGTCAGATGTCAACAGCAGAAGGTTGTATTTTTTTTTTTTTCTTTTTTGGTGGTTCGGGTTCTGTAGTTTCCGCATCGGGATGTTGCTCTTTTAAGACATCTGAAAGCATGCTCCACACCTCATCCCTCTCAGATTTTGGAAGGCACTTCAGATTCTTAAACCTTGGGTCGAGTGCAGTTTTTGGACAGCAGTATTACAAAATATGCTATTGCTTTGGTCAAATGGGAGAAAATATTGATGACCGAAGTCCATAACTCAAATAGACTTGCCCTGTAGCTAGAGAGAGAAACCCACTTGTCACTTCATTTATTGGAGAGCACCTGTGCTGCTATTTCTCCAGAGAGTTGATCTTGGAAAAGGGCTGGATTTTCTAAATTAGGTGCCTAACTGCCATTTGTGCCTTAGAAAATTTACCCTTAAGCGTGGAAGAAATGTAAATTGTATTAATACTATTTGGTCAGTGCTAAGTCATTAAAACATAGCCCATAGCAAGCTACTGTCACTACTTGTTTGGTTTTTTTTCAGCATTCCTAGCTGACTTATTTAGTCTTATTTTTCAGGGTTTTTTTTTTTTTTTTTCTATTTCTCGGGAAAGTACAGTTTCTACCAACTTGAGACACTCTGCACACAAAAATAAGAAACTTCGTCTATAACTCTTGTATGCTGATGTGAAGTGGCTACTGTACTCCCTTTTGAAAACTTTACAGCGCTGCAGGTTTGCTTCATCACCCCTGCATTTCACACTAACTGGCACTGTGATTGTCTCTGTCAACAGAGAAGCCAAGGATTTAATGGGCATGATGGAGACTGAGCTCATCCTCTCACGCTTGGATTGTGACCAGTGATAGGGCTGTGAGAAGATACTTAATATATCTGTTCTGTTAATAAATGGAGGGCACATGCCTCCAGAGTTGTCAGTGTAACAATTCTTATTGCTGATAACTGCAGGAAGTCTTGGGATTGGCCTGAGTACCATACTCCTAAAGTGAAACTCAGATGCTTGGATTCATGATGTAGCAATGACTTTATAAGACTGCAGGGGGAAGCAGACAGCTGCTAAATACTGATTTACAATCAGGAAATGGAATTTCAGGCTGAGAAATTTATATTTCCTTAACGACATAAGTGCCTTTGTTATGCACCCTTTGGTGATAGAACCTGATTCAGTGTAAGCAATTACTACTTAGTGACCTTACCAGAGAGTGTTTAAGAGATGTACTAGAGATGCATTTTCACATTGTACAAATAGCCTCAGAGAAGAAGAGGGAGAGCACATGCTCTTCTTGTGCCTTTGGCAAAAATGGATCTAAGTAAAGTACACCATTAAGGCTAAATCAATCCATCGAATAAAATCTATAAGAGAAAGCCAGAGGAGTTGGGCGGGCGTTGCTGAATGGGGAGTTTTGTAGGCCAGCAGTGCAGGTGTCTATTAACTGTGACAGCTGAAGGATGAATGTAGGGATTTAGCTTCTCATGCATTTTTATAAAGCTGATCACTTGCAGAATAAAGAGTAAAGAAGCATAGGTTGTTTTCTTTCAATAGCAAACGAGCTTACTTTGCCTTCATTTTTAACTTTTGATATTTTTTTTTCTTGACAAAGTAGCAGAGTTCATATGACTGTACATGATGGTTTTTTCTCTTGGGCTTATACTCTTTTGTCAGGAGGCCAAGATGACTTTTTCCCCATTACTCTGGGTTAGTCTTTAATCTTCGGTCTCTCTTGCTGATTGCCAGACCGATTTAACCTGTGATTCTAATTCCTTTAAAACTCTAACAATCACTACTTTTTCAGTTCCCATTTTCATAAACCTCTCTTAATCAGGGTCTTTTTGACCATACTTAACATTAAGGGATCACTGTATTAGTTTGTAAGAAGTAACTGCAATTAATTTAATATCTTCACTAGGCTTTTTCTTTTAAATGTCAGTCAGTTCATGCATCCAAAAAGCAAATTCCTGACACTGGCAAATTCCTGACACAGAATTATTATTCTGGCTCATAATTTCCCTGTTCATAGGCTTTTACACTGCAGAAAATGGACCTTTGGATTCCTCTTATGAATAGCACCATATAATGAAGTGTAAGTCAGAACAGTTGTACTTGATTCAGTGAACATATTAATAAAGCCTCAGGGAAAACAAGGTGTCAAGATTAGTTTCTCTCACCTTCCGCCCCTTCCCAATAGAGCATTTTGAAAGTCCATTCTGACCCACTTCTGTCACTGATTGAAGAACAGGCAATCTGCCCTGCAGCTACTTAAATCTCACTCTGAAAATAAGGCAGTGGGGTGACATTCTGCAAAATTTGTCCCACAGACAAGTCACTTACAATTTTTTCCCCCACTTATAATGGAAATAAAATTGGTGGGTCACAAAACAGTTCTGATATAATCACAGTGAAGTGATGACCAGTCACTTTGCAGTTGTTACTCATCTGAGCTGGAAGTACAGTGTAAAAAGCAGGAAGCTTACAGCTTCATGTTTTCCAGTAGGGTCATCGCCTCCTAACAGTGAGGTTTAGAGGCAAACGCCGCTAGCTAGTTACATACTGGTACTTGAATATTTTGTTCACTGTTGTAAAATCTATTTGTTTTTGTTTTGTTCTCCTCAAGAAGCATGTACCAGTAAAGAATATACATTTCTCTTCTATGCAACATCCATACATCAGGAAGTGACCTTGCAGGTGCTGCTGTTCCATTAGCATTCCCCTAAGAATGGGCTCAGCCTTCAAATGTAGCTGTCTAAATAGGCCAGCCAACTCCTGAATGTAGAAAAGGAATTTATACACTTATGTGCCAACTTACTCACTTTATTTAAGTGCCCACATGTTCTCTTTGCCTTCATGCTGGAGTGCTGCATAAGGCCTTATGTATAACTGGCTTTTCTCCATTATGGACTTTTGAAGACAATGGAGGTCTTTGCTCATAATCCAGTGCCTATAGTATCTCACCATGCATGGGGTTTGTAAATGGTAGAGTAGAACGCTGTGGAGCACACTTCATCCAATGACGAGTGGATGAGTTGTTGGGGTTTTTTTTGTGGTACCTGAGCATGTATCCAAAGATCAGAACAAGATCCTGGAGTGTGAACTTATTTGTGATGTGAAAATTGTATGGTGTTCCCTGAAGTCTGCTCTGTGAAAACTATTGTGGTTTCTGGATTATCATTGTGGTGTCTGTGGTTGGGAGAACTATTTTCCCAGGGCAAAGCAGACAATAGAAAGAACCCCTCTCTTTGTATTGGGTTTGAGTCAGCTTCTTGTCACAACTGTGAAACGATGCAGCTTTCCACACAGACTACTATATTTAGTTGTTTCCAAGGAGATGTTCTGTGTGATATAGATAATTGCATTAATCCTTGATTTACACAATCTTCAGGGAAGGAAACTGCTCCTTTCCCCAGTGTTGGCTTTTTAATCGCTCAATGAGCTATAATTTATAAGCTTTAAATTTGAACACTCTGTGTGCATGTGCGCACATGAGAGTGAGAAATCAATGGTCAAAATGATCACTTGCCACAGAAATAAGGAGTTGCACGTTGTCTCTTGAATCTCGGGTCCCTTGTACTCTTACCCTATGACATTTTGTTTTTATTTCCATGAGCTATATTTGTGTGCTAAGTATTCCTTAGTGATCATTTGGAGATGGCTTGGTGACATCCTTCTGTATTTGCAGTGTTAGCTAAAGGCATTCATGCCAACATCACTTATGCCAGCAGTGCTGTTAAGATATTTGTGGTTGAAAACACACCCCTGCAGTTTTCACTATCTAATAGAACCTTCTCCCAGCCTTTGGGTTTGATGGCTGGTTGTTTAGTCATCCGTGAGCAATGCTAAGAGATACAGCAAGGAGAAAATGTGTATTTCTTCCCTTAGTAAGCCCATTTATTTGTGCCAGTGACCCGTTTTTCAGCCTCTAGCTGCTTGTAGTGCTTGACATCTACATTACTTTCGCTGGAGAAAAAAGAATGTTCTGTTAACCAATCCTTCTGCATAATAAGTCTATTCCAAGACAACAGTATCACATTTGGACTAGTCTGTTGTCTCTGCTGCATTGGAAGTGCACTTTTTGCATCCCATCAATCTTAAACCCTCCCCATCAGGGTTCACAGCCCGCTGATTATAAACTTCTTGGACAGGATGTCTCAAATAATAACTTGCAGGACTTCACTGACTAGACAGATCTTATGTAGACAGTTTGAATGGAATGAAATTAAATGGCACTAGAAAGGTATTATTCTTCCAAAAGAAGAAGCAAACAGTAAATGCCAAGATGCAAACATTCATAAAAAAATTATTTTTAAAATGTCCCTTATATATATTTTATTTTATAAATCCGAGCCCTTTATGCCCCTATCCAGTGTGATGATACACCCAATATGTATAATAGTAAATTAACTGTTTGACAGCTACAAAGGTGTTGTCTCTATTCTCTTGGTTACTTTTCATTCTCGTTTTCTTTCATAGTAATGCAGAACTAGCTGACCTACTTGTTCATTTCAGTTAAATCCAGTGAGACACTGAAATTCTCTGATCTGTTGCAGAAAAGAAGAAAGGAGAGCACAACGTTAAAGGAGAAAGGAAACGAGCAGTTTAAGAAAGGAGGTGGGTTAATGTTCTTTTAACATAATAAATTCTGAAATTAGTTAATACTTAGATCAGCAATTCGATACTGTGGCAAACCTTAAGGTAGATATATTTTCCATCACCCTTGGGTCTCTTTTCCCCTCCCACAAAACCATCAGCAACCGAAGGGGAGGAGGGAGATCTAATCGACAACAATAAATGCTAGAGACCAAGTGCTAAAAAGTACTTGGTGCAATGCACACCAAAGGAAAGCATCATTAATATACTTATTAGAGTAATGATCCCACAGAAATGGATACTTGCCTCCAACACAGCTCACTAGAGAGAGCTTTCTATAATGGATGATTGAAACTTTGTGATATAATGTGTAAGGAAAACTTATTGCTGGAATACGCAGGAGGGGAGAAAAATCAACCTGCTGGGTCCTTTACTTTTTGGAAATCTGACAGTGATTAATAACAAGTATCTCCTTCCTTCACTTACCCTTTGCTGTATTAAGCTTGGATATGGGTGTATCTTCAAGGCATGATCTAGAGAAGAACTGTTCTTTAAAGAGGTTTAGCATCTCTCATCATGTCAGGATTCCTCCCTAGGTTCTGAGAGGAGGTACTGATGTCATGTCATGATTTTTCAGATCAGTGTTGGGCTGGCTTCAACTAAAGAAAAACATTTGTTTTTATTTTGAAACTTTGCTGCACTTTTTAACTTCAAAGAAAGGGCAAAGTTTGGAAGTGAGGCATATGAATTAAAATATGCACAGCAGTGGCACAAATCTAGAGATTGTAGTACTGGGTCCATGTCTTGGCATTTTAACATAGCTAGTATCCTACTAGAGGTGCTGGTTTAAAATGACAAAACTATTGTCATTGGTATGTATTCTAATTCAGCAGGGCACTTTTTCTAAGAGCAGCTGACTGGATGTCTACACTACGAAATTAAGTCGAATTTATAGAAGTCGATTTTTTAGAAATCGATTTTATACAGTCAATTGTATGTGTCCCCACTTAAGACCATTAACTCGGCAGAGTGTGTCCACAGTACTGAGGCTACCGTCGACTTCCGGAGTGTTGCACTGTGGGTAGCTATCCCACAATTCCCGCAGTCTCCACCACCCATTGGAATTCTGGGTTGAGATCCCAATGCCTGATGGACAAAAACGTTGTTGTGGGTGGTTCAGGGTACATGTCGTCACGCCCCCCCCCCCCCTTCCCCTCCCTCTGTGAAAGCAACGGCAGACAATCATTTCTCGACTCTTTTTTTCCTGGGTTACCTGTGCAGATGCCATACCATGGCAAGCATGGAGCCCGCTCAGCTCACCGTCACCGTACATCTCCTGGGTGCTGGCAGACGTGGTAATGCATTGCTACACAGCAGAAGCTCATTGCCTTTTGGCAGTAGACGGTGCATTACGATTTGTAGCCATCGTCGGCGTCTCCTGGGTGCTCTTTTAGCCGACCTCGGTGAGGTTGGTCGGGGTGCCTGGGCAGACATGGGTGCTCCTGGCAGACCTCGGTGAGGTCTGTCGGGTGCCTGGACAAAAATGGGAGTGACTCCAGGTAAATTCTCTTTAAGTTTCATCTCCTAGAGAGTCAGTCCTGCCTGCAGTCGTTCTGCACCGTCTCCTGGCTGCTAGCCAGAAGATGTCTAGCGATCGTACTGCACCGTCTGCTGCCAGCCTAAGATGTATAAGAGAGATGGAGTGGATCAAAACAAGAAAGAGACCAGATTTGTTTAGTATTCATTGGCTCCCCCTTCCCCCCCCCCCCTCCGGTGAAATCAACGTCCGACAATCATTTTGGTGAGGTCTGTCAGGGGCAACTTGAAAAGTTTAATGGAGATTCAGCCTGCCTGGAATAGTGGGGGGAGGGATAGCTCAGTGGTTTGAGCATTGGCCTACTATACCCAGGGTTTTGAGTTCAATCCTTAAGGGGGCCATTCTGTGTGACAGTTACGTGTGTTTCTCCTTGATGCAAACCCACCCCCATTGTTGATTTTAATTCCCTGTAAGCCATGTTGTCAGTCAACCCTCCCTCGGCACTGCTGTGGGTCCCTGTTATAGCCTCTGTCCTTCATGCCCTTGGAGATTTTTTTCAAATTTTTGGGCATTTCGTCTTTTGGAACGGAGTTCTGATAGCACAGATTCGTCTCCCTATACAGTGATCAGATCCCGTACCTCCTGTTCGGTCCATGCTGGAGCTCTTTTGCGATTCTGGGACTCCATCATGGTCACCTCTGCTGATGAGATCTGCACTCACCTGCGGATTGCCACGCTGGCCAAACAGGAAATGAGATTCAGAAGTTCGTGGGCCTTTTCCTGTCTACCTGGCCAGTGCATCTGAGTTGAGAGCCCTGTCCAGAGCGGTCACAATGAAGCTCTCTGGGATAGCTCCCAGAGGCCAATACCGTCGAATTGCAACCACACTACCCCAGATTCGACCCGGCAAGGTCGATTTCAGCGCTAATCCCCTCGTCGGGGGAGGAGTACAGAAATCGATTTTAAGAGCCCTTTAAGTCGAAAAAAACTGCTTAGTTGTGTGGACGGGTGCAGGGTTAAATCAATGCAACGCTGCTAAATTAGACTTAAACTTGTAGTGTAGACCAAGGCTGAGTCTTGCTTTTGTTATAAAACTGATGTTGCTTCAGATATTGAGGAATATGTTTTCCCAGAGAGTTTAAGCTATGTGGCTCTCACTAATTCTACTGGCAAATGCAATGAATGTTGTGTTTTGTTTTGTTTTTTTTTTCTCTTCAATCTTCAGAATATGGGGAAGCAGAAGACTCCTATACGAAAGCTGTACAGGTTTGCCCAGCCTGCTACCAAAAAGACAGGTCTGTTTTCTTTTCAAACAGAGCTGCTGCAAGAATGAAACAGGTGAATGTACTTTCAGAGTATTGTGAATATACAAGAGTCAATGAATGAGCTTGAAGGAATTAAGCCATAGTTTCCAGGTTTTATTATTCACTGACTTGTTGTTGTTGTTCATCTCAGTTGAAATACTGGTGGAGATTTGGGGCACGTGGTGGGGGGAACTGATTTGAAAAATGCAGTTGATCCCACTGGTTGGAGTTGAGTCTTCTGTAGGCACATCTGTCCATGCTACAACTCTTAACTGAGTTCATAACTAGTTGTGGGCATGGCTGTCTCTAAACATGGCTAGTGTCTCCACACCACCTGGTTACTTCTTGTTTAGTAACTTTGGCAAGTCAGTGTTTTGGCCCTGGTAGAGGCCTAAATTGTCATATGATTGTCTTCCAGTAACCAGTTCAGTGCGTTATGACATGGGCAGGACTTCCTAACCATGCTTTTATCAACCAGTCTGGCTGATCCTCTTTTGTCTCTGCTGTCTGTGTGGTAGGACAGACTAGAGCACACTGCCTCATATGTTACTGCTTCTGCTTTTTGTGTATGTCGTCTCTCCCAGTGGTTCTCAACCATGGGTACATGCATACAGCCAGGGATACAGAGGTGTTCTGGGGGTAGATACATCAACTCATCTAGATATTTGCCTGTTTTTACAACTAGCTACATAAAAAGTACTAGAGAAGTCAGTACAAACTAAAATTTTTCATACAGACTCTGACTTGTTTATACTGCTACATTTCAGTGTATAGTACAGCAGTTCTCAACCCACAGGCCACATGCAGCCCAATTAGCAGACAGCTGCGGCGGGTGAGGATCCGGGAGCTGCCCGGCCGGCTGGCCCTCCACCCAGGGCTCCACTCCTGGACCCACTCTGTGGAGGGATCTCTGGGTGTGAGGCACTTGGGTCGGGAGTGGGTGGGGGGAGAGCATGCTGTGGTTCTCAACCTGCAGCCCAGGTAACACATTGCAAAGAGGTTGAGAACCACTGGTATAGTATATAGAATTAGAATATTTATATTGATTTATTTTATGATTCTATGCTAGCTAGAAGAAGAACAGGAGTACTTGTGGCACCTTAGAGACTAACAAATTTATTAGAGCATAAGCTTTCGTGGACTACAGCTCACTTCTTCGGATGCTAGCTAGCTTATTTGTAGCAATCTTTTTAGTAACTGTATGCTGTGACACTTGTATTTTTGTGTCTGATTTTGTGAGCAAGTCGTTTTTTAAGTGAGGCTAAACATGGGGGTACACAAGACAAATCAGACGCTTGAAAAGGGTACAGTAGTCTGGAAAGGTTGAGAGCCATTGCTCTATCCCCTGCTTAGTCACTATGGGATAGCTGTCCAGATATTACCAGAATGCACTGATACACTGTTAAGCAGCATGGTAGCTGTGGAGACACAAACATAGCTGTTGGGAGAAAATCTGTTGTGGGGAACCAAATCAACTGTATAATTTGTAACCAGTCAAGGGAACTGTGCCTCTATCCAGTTTTTTTTTTTTTTAAATCAGTTAAAAGTTGTGGTGTGGGTATGATGGTCTTCATCACAATAAATGTGCTACCAAAATTGCTGCAGAACTGTGGTTAAAAAGAGGGTAATGGAGATGAGTGAGGAGCCAGCCAGGACAACTCCTTAGTACCTTATCTGGCTCCCGTTTAGGCCTGAGAATTATGCCATTGACCTCAGTGGGAACTGGAGCAGGACATAACAGTGAGCATTCAGCAATACTTCCCTGCTTCACAGGGAAGTTGTGGGTCTAAATCGGGGGTAGGCAACCTATGGCACGCATGCCAAAGGCGACACGTGAGCTGATTTTCAGTGGCACTCATGCTGCCTGGGTGCTGGCCACCGGTCTGGGGGACTCTGCATTTTAATTTAATTTTAAATGAAGCTTCTTAAATATTTTTAAAACCTTATTTATTTTACATACAACAATAATTTAGTTATATATTATAGACTTATAGAAAGAGACCTTCTAAAAACATTAAAATGTATTACTGGCACGTGAAACCCTAAATTAGAGTGAATAAATGAAGACTTGGCACACCACTTCTAAAAGGTTGCCGACCCTGGTCTAAATTAATTGTCTAAGGCACTTGAATACCATGTGTCATAGAAAAGCTTATACAGTTTTCAACACTGTTTTTATACAGGCCATATGTATGTTGATAAATAACCTCTGACAGCTTAAGAGGTGGAATCAAGAATTTAGGAGTAGAAAGCAATTTCTCCTTCTGTTGCTTTTAAATGTATTCTGAATAGATACACGTTTTTCTCCCTCCTTCCTCTCCACCCCCACACCAGCTATTTACAATACCCGAAGAAAACTTGCATGACCATCCAACATGCAGGGATAGAATTGGGGATAGAAAACATTGTGACAGTCTCTCTAATATTAGAGTACTCTGTCCTATAGCTGATATTAAGTGCCAGAAGGTCAGCTGAGCATTTTTGCTCAAGTAGAACCACCTAGACTTTTTATACTACCAAACTATTAGAGCAGAGAATAAAATGAGATTCTCTCTAGCAGCTGCTGCAATAGCCTCTCCAACATGAATGCTATCTGAGCATATTTATAAACAGCAAAATATCTTCACAATCCAGATGTTAAAAATCCATGTCACTGGAGAACTAATCCAGTAATTGCCAAAGTGTACAAGGGGAATAAATGAGTTGGAGATGAACAATTAGTATGATGTCTCCTTATTAGGGTTGCCAACTTTCTAATGGCAGAAAACCAAACTCCCACCCCTTCTGAGGCCCCGTCCCTGCTCGCTCCACCTCCCCTCCTTCCGTCGCTCGCTCTTCCCCCACCCTCACTCACTTTCACTGGGCTGGGGCAGAGGGTTGGGATGTGGAAGGGGGTGAAGGCTCTAGGGTGGGGCTGGGGATGAGGGGTTTGGGATGCAGGAGGGGGCTCTAGGATGGGGTAGAGGGTTGGGGTGTGGGCTCCTGGCGGTGCTTACCGCAGTTCCAGGAAGCGGGTGCCAGGTCCCTGTAGCCTCTAGGCACATGGGTGGCCAGGGAGGCTCCGCACACTGCCCCCATGCCCACAGACGCCACCTGCACAGCTCCCATAAGTTGCGGTTCCCAGCCAATGGGCCTTGCGGAGCCAATACTTGTGCCATGGGACCGCAAGGACCTGGCAGCTACTTTCGGGAGCCATGCAGAGCTAGCACAGGCAGGGAGCCTGCCTTAGCCCTGGGCCTCCACTGTGCCGCTGACCGGACTCTTAACAGCCCAGTGCCACCAGGGTCCCTTTTCAACTGGGCATTCTGGTTGAAAACCAGATGTCTGGCAACCCTACTCCTAGCAGAATAATGGCTTTTGGTTAGGCTAACACCATGCCCTGGAGATCTAGAGTATCCTTGTTTTAAAGGGCTTCCACAATAACTTGTCAGTCTTTTTTAATTTATGCCTGCTACAGATATGTTTACTCAGAACTACAATAGATATTTTAATCAGACATTTCTTGAAAGACCAGTTGGTGCCTTATGGAAAAAAACACTATTTAGAAGCCATCCTGCATTGTATATCTCTTTCTCAGACTTTGTTCTCTGTTACTCCAGTTATTTTGGATGAAAATAAGATGTTTATTAAACTTTTTATCTGCCCTCATTCCAATACAGCCAGAAACCCTCTCATCTTCCATTGCAAGTTAAGGCAGAGCACATGTGCACTAAAATCTAGTCTCTTCCACTGCAAGGTGTTTCCTGCATTGCTCTTTGTTAAAGACAGCAATCTGCTGTCAAGTGGATCAGCACACATGGACAGGGACTGAGTTGGGAGTATGGGGGAAGTGTTGGCCTATGGCAGGGGTCGGCAACCTTTCAGAAGTGCTGTGCCGAGTCTTCATTTAGTCACTCTAATTTAATATTTCGCGTGCCAGTAATACATTTAAACGTTTTTAGATTATCTCTTTCTATAAGTCTATAATATATAACTAAACTATTGTTGTATGTAAAGTAAATAAGGTTTTTAAAATGTTTAAGAAGCTTAATTTAAAATTAAATTAAAATGCAGAGCCCCCCGGACCGGTGGCCAGGACCCAGGCAGTGTGAGTGCCACTGAAAATCAGCTCACGTGCGGCCTTTGGCATGCATGCCATAGGTTGCCTACCCCTGGCCTATGGCTTCAGCACTAACCCCTCAAGCAACTGGACCAGATCCCAGTAGGTGGAGAGAAGTTCAGTAGACACTTCAGTGGAGTAGAGGCCTGCATGAGTGACTCAGCCTTTTGCACACTCCCTTGTGTGAGCTGCTGATTGCAAATTAGATGAGTATGTAGTCACATGACTCTGACCCCAGCTGCTGTCATGGAAAGCTGGCCTCTTTCTGGTTTAGACATCTCTAGCATATTGCTAATGTAATTTAAGGCTTTTAATGGGTCTCTACAAAAGTATTCATTCCCAACTGGCACTTATAAGTATGTATTCAGTTATATCACTAGAAATGGGGTAAACAAACTTAACATTATTGATTTGGTTTTAGGACAAGACAGAAGCTGCCCTAAGTGACTGCAGCAAAGGTACGATCCTTTTTCCTGATTCTGAACGTGCTGCTGCTGCGCAATGTCATTGGTGCATTAATCATGCCACTCAGTAGGGCTGCAATTTTTGGCAAGGCAATTATTTATTTATTTATTTATTTTTAAAATCACTCAGAGGGAGGTCATGGTGATAGGGGCAAGTATCTTGGATTAACTTTATAAAATGGCTGTCAGGCTTTTACTACCTGAAATGTCCTGTTTCTCCACTGCAAATAAGAATGGTGTTTGCAGTGTGATAGTAGCAAAATCTTATTACAGAAGCTGCCCTTTCTCCTGCAGCTACTCTTGTAAAGCCAACCCAGCTCTCCAAATCTTAAGAGTTTTAACCTTGAAGTGCAAGGAATTATGTGGTCCCTTGGAATGAAAGGCACCAAATCCCTTTGTCTAAGTCTTTTACGTTATTGCTGACCTCGTGCTCTGATTTCCATGCTGCCTAGTTTTATCTCTTGATGAAATCTGTTCAGCTGTGTACTGTTGCATCCACCAACTCATCCCCATGTAAATCCCCAGATGTCTGGTCTTGGATGTGTGTTATACTCTTTATAACAGCTGGGACAAAAGTCCAGCCTTACCAAATGGAGAACTAATTCAGTGGCTGAGTGCCATCACTGCTTATACAGTAAGCATTTTTTTGTAAGTGTTACTAGTATTCTTGCCTTTTTGAAAGTAGCAACATTTAACTGACTTGTTCCACTTTGCTTTCTTCCTCTTCCTTGTTTTTTTTTTTTTTTTAAATGCTTCTACTAATTTTGTACTGGCTGAAAGGAAATCAATCAGCTGTGCAGTGTTACAAGATTTATACGTTATCATCATTTGACAGTCTCTAAGGGCTTGGCTCACAAGCTGCAATGCAACACTTAGAGCATAGCAATGCAATTCACTCCGACCTGCATCTTGCTGACTGCAGCATTGTCCTTGTCCCTCTAAAAAGAAGAAACAAGCTATGTTTGGCTAGAATATTTTGGGCTGCATTGCTTGCATTAAAAATTATTTTAGTTTTGGGGGATTGTTTGTTTTTAAAAGGTGCTTTTTCCTGTGTTGAAAACTGGGTGGAGAAATGTCTTGAGAGCTTGTTTATTAGCAGGTTACTGTTGTACAGACGCTAACTGTTTAGCATTCTGTCCCAGCTGCACTGGTAATCATGGTTGTGTCTGTCAAGAGAATAGGGAGATGAAAAAGCATACATTGAATCAACATGCTTCTTTCAGAGTAGTAGCCGTGTAAGTCTGTATCAGCAAAAACGACGAGGAGTCCTTGTGGTACCTTAGAGACTAACAAATTTATTTGGGCATAAGCTTTCATGGGCTAGAACCCACTTCATCAGATGTTCTAGCCCACGAAAGCTTATGCCCAATTAAATTTGTTAGTCTCTAAGGTGCCACAAGTGCTTCTTTCATAATTTCTAGAAACAGTCTAAGCATTCATTTATAGGTACTGAACCAGATTTAATCTGTTATCAGTGTAGATTCAGAAGCACTTCAGTGGAGTTACTTTTGACTTACACCATTAGATGAACATAAATTCAACCTCTACATCTGTCTAAAAGTGATATCCTTTTATCTTCTAGATCCTGTATTTGTACTATATTGGCTTTATGGTACTCTGCAAATTATATCTGAAGTGTCCAGAATAATTACTATGTGTAATATAAATAATACCCCAAATCCTGGTCCCTTCCTTTGACTTCTTCTGCTATGTATCCCACATGTGCAGTGAGAAAAGTTCCAGGATACATGGAGCACAGCAGTGAGGCAAAGCACCATGGGATACCTGTCCAGAATTCTGCACACTTACTTTGCATAAAGTCCATGTGGCCATGTAGACACATTAATCTGTACTGAAACTGAAAACAGTTGGCCATATGTATGCAGTTATTGCATGCTATCCAATACCAGTTAGTATGCAAAAACTCTGAATTAAACCTCCCCTGTAGACACGGCCGTGGAGATGCAAAGAATCCTCTTTGAGTCTTTCTCTTGCAAATGCAGAATATAGTTCCATCCTCCTCCCCCAACCCCCATTAAGATATATCTTCTATTAAACTGGTACTATGCTTGATTTTAATAAATAAAAAACTAAATTAACTTCAAGATATATGTATTCACTTAACCATTAATGTGAAGGGGTGTAGAAACATTCCATTAAAACATACCACTCTGTTTTAATTTTCCAGCAATTGAACTAGATCCTAACTACATCAGGGCTCTGCTGAGGAGAGCAGAACTATATGAAAAAACAGAAAAACTAGATGAAGCCCTGGAGGATTATAAAACAGTCCTAGAAAAAGATCCATCAGTACATCACGCGAGAGAAGCTTGCATGGTAAGCATTTACACCATACTTAGGACTGACCATAAAATTTACATATGCAATGCATTGATACTACTTATGCAAGCTGCTTCACTCATTGAGCTCAACTTAAGTCTCACTAGTGATGCAAGCAGGCTTAAATCTCAGATGATGTTATATTCACGATAGCCAGATGTATATCCCTGTTCACTCAGGATCTCAACTGTTCAGTTGACTAATGTTGGTATTAATAGTAAAGTTACAACTAAATTTTGTCTTTGGCTCTGAAAATTGATTGGGTTTCTCTCCTCGTGCCTTCTCACACCCTCCCTTCCCCTCTCCCATGACAGTATGCTTTACTTGTTGTTAAACAGCCACCCCACCCAGTTTATCACTCATACACTATAGTCCTTTGTTATCTTTGTTCTGTTTGATGTTTAATTTTTATTCTTTCCCTAAAACGAGCAATAATTTATAATGTTCCCGTGAGGAACCATGGCAGGATAACATTGAGGCTTATGTTAATTGTCAGAAATGAAGCTGAAAGTGAATGTTCATAGGTGCTTCTACAATCAGATTCTCTTCAGCGTATGCTCTGTACAATATAATATTCAGATAAATAGCTAAAAAATCTTGATTCAAATTCTGACTTGTTGTTACACCTATATATGTGCCAAGCAAGTGTTCAGGGGCGGGGCATGTGTAGTATGCACCATGCACTTGAGCCCCTGGCCCTGGAACGGAAATCACATCCCACACCACCTCCACACTCTTGCAGAAGTAATGTGCAAAGGCATTTGGGATGGAAGGAATTGGTAGATCAGAAAAAAAGATGCACAATAACACTGCTTTTGCTAGTTCTTCAGTGGGCTGGAATTTATGAAAAGCACTATACTGTAAGACATAAGTATTATACTGCAATCATTCTTCTGAATAGTGACTCTGGCCAAACGTCTCTACAACACACTTTTCTTTTTTCTGAAGGAGATGGACATAAATAACTGAAATTCAAAATAATAATTTCACTTTTGTCCTGATCATGTAATTTTTGAGGACACCAGAAAATAGGCTTGTAGCTAAACTGATAACTCTGAGGCAGACCTAAAAGATTGTTCAAAATCTTGAGTGGTTTGTTTCTGAAAACTTTTGAGTTCTTTTTGCTAATAGCAGTTTAAGCTTGCTATTTACATCCAAGAGCATGTCCTCTCGTTTTAATGGAATGTAATCTTGTGGTCATAAACAGAAGCACCTCCTGATCTAGCTGCTTTCTTCATTAGTGAGCAAAATGAGGTGTGCAGTTCAGTACTAAATCCCATGTCCTCTTCAATTAATATTACAAATAGCTGTGGGATTGAAGGTACCTTGAAAGAATCTTTTGTCATATCCACTGGTGTAAATAAGTACTCGGAATGTTTTCTTTGTTTTTTGGACAGTATGGATTGGAAGAATAAAGGTAAACCCTTAAAACTCCCTGGAACCCAAATCTGACCTGTATACAGTCCCTAGTTGATGGGGATTTAGTCACTGCCATGGACTGTTGATTCCAGGTTTTAAGCAGCTATTTGTGTGAAATGCCAGCGGAAGTGCTTTTCTGATGGTATTTGGCACTTTAATTCTTAGTGTGAAAAGTGGTGGTGGATTTGATAGATTAGAAACAGTCTGTACAATGTCCGGGGAGGCAGGAAGGGATAGGTACTCTGACTGCTCCTCTCCGAGGCTGCTTGTATTTTCCACTGTGTGACATTCCTCAGAGCAGTCCAGACCAGTGAGGGGCTGTGTCACCCCTGCCGTGCAACTTTGGGTGCCTTGCAATGCTTTGCTATTGTAGCTTCCAGCTTGGGTTGTTCACAAACAGCCTGCCAGCATGCAGGTCACACCCAGCATGTCTGTGTCCTGGTCCAGCAGTTCTGACTGCAGCAGCCTGTCAGCACAGCCTGCTGCTTCCACCAGCCTTGGTTATTGCTTGCAGGGTGACTCCAATATGCTCCTAGTCCTGGATATTTTCCACAAAAATGTGTGTTTTTTGCACTGTCCCGCCCTCTCCTTGGCCGTCCAGATATTAGGTCTGTTGCCCTTGTAAAGGGATCAAGATACAATAGTTTGCCACTTTAAATGGAGTTACCCACACAGTTCACAACACTGGATTAGTTTTGATTAAAGAATAAAACAAATTTATTTAACTACAAGGAGAGGTTTTAAGCGAGTACAAGTAATGAGGCATTCAAGTTACAAGAGAAATGCAGATAAAATGCTTGCTAAACTTAACAAACTAGACTTGGTTCAAAGTGAAGTTCTTACCTCAGGTTTCCAGTAGAATTGCTGGCCAAGTTTCAGGTGAGGATCTGCTCCCAAGGTCCAATGGCCTGTGTTCTTTTGTCCTCTGAGGTGAAAGAGACGGAGAGAGAACTTGGGGTGCTTTTACCCCCTCACTTTTCTAGTCCAGTCCCACTTTGAGATGCATTTTCCTGAAGGTTACCACTCAAAGCAAAGTTTATTAAAACAGTAAAGAAGACAACATGATGACTGGTGGTGAACAAAGTTCCATGATGTTTCTTTTTACCTGTTTGCTGGAATGCGGGTTTTCTTTATCTCCTGCCTTCCCCCCTTTTTACAACTTGTATGTAAACTGAGGTAAACACACATTCCTTTTGAGACCTGCGTAAGCAGTTCTGCCTAACTGGGGCTATGTGGGTTTGAACATGTGCCACCAGCATCATTCAGGGAGAATTCATAACTTTACATATAATTTATACATTCCACCATTATATTATTAACCATTATTATTGTAAGGTATCAAATAATACCTTACAAGGCATATTTGGTACAAAGATTATTATAATAGTGTGTAGGTGTGACTACAGGGGTGCATTCCATCGCACACTGGCTCTTCAAGTGGAAGATAGTTCATGCTTCTGTCAAGGCCATGTGAAGGGACAGTAGAGCCCTTAAGGGAGCATGCTGCCAGGGGAAGGTAGCTCCCAAAAACTGCTCAGAGATGATTGCCCTCTACAAAATTGGAGCTGTTTGTTTTTGAATTCTGGGTTTTGGAGGCCCTTCGCTCATACCCCCAAGCAGCTGTCCATTTCTTAGAGGAGCATTGGGTGGTATTTTTAAAAGTGCCTCTTCATCGTTGCATAATTTTTTTCATTACAGCATGTTCTCTAGCCCTTGGGATTGTGGTTTATGGGTTTGTTTTTGTGTAAGTGGGAATGCTGATTCATTTATATTGTTTCTGAGTTCTAGTATTAGTTTTGATGATCTGCTTATAAAATGATATGCACGTTCCTGTGACTATTATGAACAGCATGGGTGTATGGGTTGAAACTACTTTTGATTACTAGTTTAAGGAGAATGGACAAAATGTTCACAATGCCTAAAATTGCGCATCTAAAGTTATATTTAGGCACCTAAATTTAAGTAACCGTATTTTAAGTTGAGATGATCACCTATAGCTTCAATCAACTGCAGTGGGAGCTAGCTGCAAGTGCTCCACCCCACTAAAAATCCAACTACTTCAGTACTTGAAATAAAACTGCAGTTAATATGGATGTAAAACAAAGAGCGCTCAGTCTGTAGTTTGGCCTGAGGTATTTTCCTTGGGCATTATCCATTTTCTCTTTAATATGCTTTTTTTCCTATATAATAATTTTTTTTATGTTTGTTTGAAGTTCTCAAACATTCCTTGTTTTCCTCTTGCTGGCTGTACTTGATTCTATTTTATATGCATTGTTTACTGAAGTTACCTTTTGATATGTTGTGGAGAATGTGGGAAATTTCTGTATTTTTATTAAAAAGTATGTGACTCAGTTTCCCCATACATATTGCTTGTTGTGAAGGGTAAAAGTGATGAAGTGATTGGGTGTGTCACATAGACATGTCGGGATTGGTATGAATGGACTATCAAGAACAGCTTCATTCACATGCTGGCAATCTTGGAGATACAGTGGAAGACCAACAACTGGACCATTAACTTTAATGATTGCCAGCCAAGTGGACTGTCTGACAACAACCACCTCCTACCTGCAACACAGAGCAGGGGAGGGGAAGGAGAGTTCATGTGAAAATAGCATGACTATTATGAATCTATGACACAAGACTGAGGTGTTACGAGACATGGAAGAGAATAATGTTCCAGCATGGTAGAACATAGGTTTTCAGTCCGGGATTGGTCCGGGAAGGCTAGAGACATTTTGCAGCAAGCATATAATTTGCTTTGCAGGCCTGGACAAAGCGGCACCGACCTAACTAAACAAGGGAAAGCTGGCAAGTTATGTGAGACGCACGTTCTGGCTTTGATTTGCCCTTTGAACCTAATAGCCCTAACTATTGTATTCCAGTTGACTAATAATGATTTGCTTTGAAAACGTTGTCCTGTGTCACAGCAAATATCTGCTGGTTGTATACCTCTCAAGAGGATAAATCTCCAGTAGGGGTCCAAGCTCAAGCTTATTGGGATCTACTGAAGAAGCCAGTGTGGGGGGAGAAAAGAGTGCTGAAGCTGGGGCCCCAGTCTTAAAGAAGTGAAGTGGTAGGGCTCCCTAAGTAGCAAAGTGGAGGCACTGAGTTAGGTCAGTTAGGTCAAGACTTAAGAACTTAATTTTAGGGTCAGATGTGTAAACTTTTTTAAATTTATTTAAAAAAATGCACTTAACATTAACATGGGGCTCAGTCACACCTTCCGAGGGAAAAAGAAGAATGTGAGCTGAATCTTTTTTTGAAGCTTTCAGTAATGACTGGCTTGAACTACCTGCACCTACCCCAAATTTTGAACATGTAGGTCTAGCATTGAATTCAAAATACTAACTCCCTGTTATGGAGAAGATCACTTCATGTGAATTGGTGTAGCTCTATTGAAGCCCCTTTGTGTCCATCTTTAGTTCTAAAACTGTATCTGAGAGGCAGTTTGATCTAGTGGATAGGACACTGGACTGGGAATGAGGAGACCTGAATTCTAATGCCAGCTCTGTCATTGACCTGCCGCATGACCTTTCTGTGCCTGTTTCCTCTCCTACCCTTTTTGTGTCAATTGCAGG